CTGTTTTTTTTGGCAGTGGTATATGGGGTATAAATATATACGAAGAGGTGTCTATGATTCAGCATGAAGCCTGTAGATAGTTCATGTGTTTCAAGAAAGATATGGGTCGGAATTCCTTTAATGTCAATCATTCTTTGGAACCTATTCGACTTGTTATTAAAATGTCTGGTGAAAATACTCTTTATGTACATAACTATAGTCATGTAAGCTTAGGAAGTCCTGTGACTCGAGAGTTAAATCTCTGAATGAAGGGGGAAGGTTTATATCATATTGTTTATTCAAATTTCACTACAAAATCTAGAATGAAAGCTTTACCAGAAAAACTAAAAATAATAGAACAAGAAGAATGGCATCGTTCTGCCTGAGATGATAGCAGTACTAATAGTAAGCTTAGAACCTATCGAACAATTAAATCTGATTCAGAGACTTGTCCATATGTTAAAATTTGTAAGACAAAGAAATAATCGCAGAGTGTTATTGAGTGTTAGAAGCGGTTCCCTCCCCTTGCCTTGGAAACTAGCAGCTATTTGAGACCTGTAGATTTTAATTATTTATATCGGATGAGTTTCATTATATTGTGGTGGTTTATTAAGGCTGCAGAAATATCTGTCAAGTTTTTAAATCTAGATGACGTAAAAAAAGTATTTATTCTGAACAGTTTTATCTAATCAACTTTTTTCTATGTATCGGAGGAGTTGTCTTTTAACATGAACTGGTACTGTTTTATAATTGAACATTGAACTTGGACATTTTAACTCTATACTGTCGAGGATAAAAATATTAGTTATTTGTATTTCATTTATTTATTTTTGTTTTTACCGAAGAAATTCAGATAAATTAATTTCCGAGAGTATAAAAAACATTAATATTGATGATTGATTCCGTTAAGAATTTGTTACTTAAAAATGTCAGGAGCGAAATATGAATTTAGGAAAGATTTACATAGAGGCATCTATTACCGTTCACACTGTGAAATATGATATGGAGCAGTCCGAAGTACTTTGTTGATTGTTTGATTAATAGTCCGCTTCACTACCGAGTAGTAATACAGCTCCACTTAGGTAATATCTATTAATAGCCGAGAGTCTTGGTAATACACGCACGTACCAGGAAATGGTCCAGACGTTCATTGATTGAATGGTAAGTTCACATGGTATTGATGACTTAGACAAAATGTTATGACCTATTTATAAATTCTAAATTCATAATCGATTGTTTTCCAATTTATTTAAATATCGAAGGGTTAGTAATTCTAACATGTGTTACGTTACCGTCGCAGCTGTGTGATAATACAAATTTAGCCTCTGGAATACCCAATCTATAAATAGGATAAAGGAGCGACTGAATAAATAATTCCTCGGCAAAATACACCATTTAAACATTTTCTAAATGTTATATCTAACTAAGTGAATGAAATAGTTGCCATACAATTAATTTGCTTAACATGCGCAAAAAAAAGTAAAACATCTATGAAGTTTGTGATTTTTTTCACCTTTGACTTCAAAAGTTAAGGGAAGGCGGGTAGACAGAAAATTATATTTAACAAAATATTTTTCAACAGGTCAAGACATTGTTTCAAACGTAAGCACTGCTTGCGTTTTAGCTGAATATGGGAGGCAGCACATATTTCCCCTTCTTTATGCGGTTGTTTTTGTATGTTTTATGTACTTGTGTTTTATATAGGCTATTTCTTCCTTTCTGATGCTGTTTGTCATTAATAGCTATGTGAACGTTTAATTATTTTCAGTGAATTCATATATACATGAAGCTTGTATACAAACGGAGGTAGGTGAGACCAACATAGACTGCATACCCTCCCCGTCTCTAGAAAATTGAATTTTCTAGAAAATATAGACTCAAACTAATAGTTTTGATCACTTGAGTGTCTGATTCTGGACTAAGTTCACACTATGGAAAGATAAGCTACTGAGCAGTATCAACATTCAGCTGGAAAATTCTTCATTAAAAAAAAAAAAAAAAAAAAAAAAGTTGAATGTTTAATAGCTAGTCGAAGGCTAATCTTTCATCTGGACGATGAAAATTGCAATCGGTACAAAAATTTAATAATTGAAATGTCGGTACCAGAATAGCATTTCCTATGGATTGGTTTTCGGTATGTTTTTACCATTGGAAAAATGTTATTGCTATATTTTTAGTCTAGTCAAAATCCTTAAAAATACTAAAATTATTTTATAATCTTAACGGAGTTCCGGAATTTAATTTAGTTTACACCTTATATACACATCCCTATATAAAATGTGTATATTTATGTAATGCATATTATGTATTCGTGTATATATGTACCAAATACTATGTATATATGTTCCACATTACTTTGTAATCTTCATCTTTGGAGGCAATAAAGAGAATAATAATAAACTGTGTGCCACAAAAGCTCTATCACAGCGTCATGGTTAGAGAGTTATATAAACTAGTGTACTTGATTTGATGCAAGTCAAAATAATTTATATATTGCATTTTAAAACACAATTAAAATTAAAAGAAAGTCAAGTAATCAACCTAGCTACAAGATAGATAATTACATTTTGTATCTCGGCAAATGTAAAAATAAGTCGAATAGGATCGGATCGGTAAACTCTATGGAAGGGGATCACCGCCATAATTATTTTTTATAGAATTAGTTACTTCTGGTTTGGAATCTAATTCTATGTACATTTGTATTATTTCTCTAGTTGATAAGTTATAGAATTAGTTACTTCTGGTTTTGAATCTAATTCTATGTTCATTTGTATTAATTCCCTAGTTGATAAGTGTCTTTTTCCATGCTATGTACATTTGTGTTGTTGCACTCGTTTACAAATCTATTGCGTGTTCATTCCATGCTATGCTAGTTTTCATTCCATGCTATGCTAGTTTTACCGATCGCGATTTCGTGTTAGCTTGTAGTATTCAATCCATTCCAGACTTACGTGATGTTATATACTCAGTACATTCTATCGGTAGATCTGAAGCTTTCGTCATTTTTGTAAAAACAGAAGTTCGAAACAAAGATTTAATTCAGAAATAGCTAGCTAGTCAACTAGTAAACGAGTAAGCCAGCAGTTGAAATACGTTAGGTTTCCTCATTATGACGACAAGCTGCGCTGCGATCGTCTTAAATATACACGGATCGCTCCCCAACCGCATCCGGATCACCGTACGGACGCAATGTCGTTATTTGTTTACGTTTTGACTATTGTATTTTTAAGGTTCTTATTTTCATTACTGCATAAATTAAATATATGTTCAAGAACATATTAATGACGCCGTCAATATTGATGTAGACTGGGACAGTGCGAGAAAACAATTAGACTTGCTCAAGTCCAGAAAATATTCACATAAACTAAATGCGAGTCTAATATTGACAGAGCGTAAAGCTTTTCTTCCCCACTCCAATACACACATTTAAAAACAAAAGTGAAAAAAAATAAGCAAAAGGAATTGTATCATAAGATAATGTATTCATACATCTATGTAGGTTAAATGTTGCAGTAACCACGGAATTAGATTAGTCTAATCTAAGTCCGTGCAGTAACTAATTAATAACAATCTCTTACACCCTATATGACAATCTCACCCCACCACCACCCCAATTACAATTAATTCTTTATCACCTGTACTGTGCATGTCTTATTCTTATATATACGTTTTAGCTTAAGTTTGGAGAAGAGTTTGAAGTGGCTTTTGGGGCAAGATTACCATAGGTGAAAGATAAGAGAAGAATATGAACCAACTTCCTCCACCTAACAAGTTATTTTTAGAGTCAATCAGAGTAAACCATTATGTGTTTTTGTCCATACCAATGAAACAGGAGTTTTTGATAAGAATGTTCAATTGAAACAAAATCATACATACTTTCAAACCCAACAAAAACGTGCTGTCATCAATATCCACTGCTTCATAGACAAGTCCATGTCAAAATTTAGTAAATTCACAGACTTAATTCTGTAGTAAATTATACAATTGTGAATGGTTATATATTTCTAACAGAATAATTCAAATCAAATAAATAACCTTTAATTGCTCTAATATAATGACAAATATATTTAGTTTGCAACACTGAACATTTATGCAGCATTTACAATTACCCAGATATGCAATTCCCTTTTAAGGTTAAAGTTTATTTATGTGGCAGGGTTCAATTGTACATAGGATTAAGGTCGCCTTCTAGCTTCAAGCTAGAGCGAATTTTCCTTTAGCTCAGTGGTAGAGCGTCCGACTAGGAACCTGGAGATCGAGAGTTCGATCCCCGGTGGAAGCACACTATTCTCTTTCTTGTTACAAATGGTGTCTGTGGCTCTTCCTGTAGTGACAGGGAGTTATATTTTAGAACATGGGTTGTGGTGTCCGAGGGCGAACACATTTTAAAAGGTTGGAGTAGTGTGGCAGGGTTCAATTGTACATAGGATTAAGGTCGCCTCCTAGCTTCGAGCTAGAGTGAATTTCCCTTTAGCTCAGTGGTAGAGTGTCCAACTAGCAACCTGGAGATCAAGGGTTTGATCCCCGGTAGAAGCACACTATTCTCTTTCCTGTTACATTTATATTTAAAATAAAAGAAAGGCACTGAAGTGTTTAATGAAAGGTCAGCTTAAGCATCCTCATCATGCATTCAGGAGAGCAACCCTACCTGCATCATTAATTAAAATTTTACCAATATAATAGTTTTTGTTACCGAGATATGGACTTACACAACTTTTCTTAATGTGCACTGATGTACAATGTAGAAGGAAGTCACTGGAGTCTAAAATGTAAGTCAAATTCAGCATCTACACACATTAATTAGTGTCCCTATAGCTGTGTCATTGATGCCATCATTATGCATGTATTACCTAGATGTACCCAGAAATGGACCCAACACTTTTTCTTAATGGGAATGGAGGGTGAGACCGAATCCATTTATTCATCCTCTGTAAACTTCGTTGAGTAGGGGCTGGGAATAATAAATGTTACTTGTGAGCAGAGACGTATACGTTTCTGTTGTGAGGCAAACATACAAAAATGAAGATAAACAATGATTTAATTTCATAAAAAAATATCAATATGCATAAAAGTTAACAAAACAATCGCTACGACAAAGTTATCAACAAGTATGCTGTCATTACATATATCTACATACATGTACATATATTTGATGGAACAATTTGAAAAAAATATTTTTTAAACAAAGCAATGCAAAGGAATACTGAATAAAATATAATCATCATGAAATATCATGACTCAAGACCAGTTTTTAAGAAACTGATGCCTGTTTTGGACACCTGTGACCTTGAAAGAAGGTCAAGGTAATCTACATGATGAAACTTTAAAGTATTTATCCCAAGTACTTGCTGACCAAATATAAGGGCCCTGTGATTTTCAATTTAAAAAAGTAATTTAAAGAAAAAGTTGACAGACAGACTTATGACAGACACTTCACTATACCATAAGATTATGACAGTTTGTACCAGAGGAGCTTAAAAGTGTATCTGAAGTTCATGAACCATGATATTTGTCTTTCCTTCATTCTGACTGTATGGCCAAATCAGAAAAATCACAACAATTATCAATCACTAGCCACGGTATACATGTCATTGGTCAATGCTCTTTTTAATTAATGTCCAACAATATGGTATTTTCATCGTCATATATGCAGCAATGTCTTGTTTTCTCCATTCAAAGGCTTAGGAATCCCAGAAAGACAAAGCTCTTGCAGTGTCTTACATGACACTGCATCCTGATGGTAGGTCTGGATTTGCCAAGAAAAGTTGGACATTCTGGAGAAAAAATAAAAATAAAATATTGTCATGAATCAGACATAGACACTGTAGATATGATAGTTGTAACTGTATGATATGCTTTTGTGGGAGAATAGCAATATATACTCTGCGAGGTCACCCATTCAATTTTTGAAATTTGACTAAAAGTTGGTTCATACTAAACCTACAATAAAACATAATATACCTTGAATACATCAGCATCATTTCATAGAAGAAACATATATTTTAAGTATATATACAGATCCCACTATGGAACTTCGAAACTGTGTTTATGATAATAGGACTAATTTATTATAATAACACCTCATTTTGAATATACTTAAGCTAACCACCTGTTTCAGGACTGCCAGTCACTGGTAGTGAATTACAAAGCAAGTTTCCATCTCATGGTTTGCATGTCTTTAGAAAGCTTCTGTTATTGTGTCTCGAGGATGTCGCTGAATAAAGAGGACAATTCAAATAACAAGTTAAAACTATGACGGGTTATCCATATAAATCTTGACATTCCATTTAGGTAACTAAACAAAATATTAAATTCTTTTATTGATCAGCATGAAGTTTAATTGTAGTGTGTTTAATATGTCTTTGTATTAAATGTCACCTAAGTGACAGGCATCTGGTTTCAAAAGCATATCCGATGGTCAGTTTACTGGAAGTAGTAAACTGATTGCATAATTATGAAGTCTATAATTTTATGGTGCTTAATTACTGAATCAATAGACAGAGTTGTTAACTATACATTAGGTTTCCTGCTTCAGTATTTTACATAATTAACTATAACATCAATCATATAATAAATATTGAGCCAAACAAGAAATGTTGTTTGTTTCCAGTTACCCTCCCTAATGATTTGTGCCTCCTCTATTTTTTGTCAAATTTCAAGGAAGCACTGTTAAAGTCAGAATCACTTCCTACATAAGCGTTGTGAAAAAGGAAAAAACATTAACTACATGTACATGTACCCAACCCTAATTCCTATTTTTGTTCAGACATGTAACAGGAAACCATCCTATTTTTTTATGCCTACCTATTATTTTGGTAAAATTTCAAGGAATCTCTTAACATGTAACAGGAAGCCAACCTGATTTTTTTTTGTTAAGCCTTTAACAAAATAAATAGCTCAGACTTACAATCTACATTTGACACTTGAGTTCAGTAATGGACAGATCAAATTATGGAATTTGTACCCGTAATCAATAATTGAAAAGGCAAGCTGATCAATTTTGAGTTATATTATCAAGTATTGGCCCATCACTAGTTACCATTAGATGTAAAAAAAAAATAAAGAGACAAACAAGAGGCCTAGAGGGCCTGAATCCCTCAACTGGATATTTAAACATCACGGGAACATATTCTGATTAAATACATCATGTACTGCAACTATAGGCTCTGTCTCTCAGCATATTGAAAGAGAATAATTTAAACACTTATCAATATTTCCCCCCTATTGGACCCCGCTCCTCTGCCCCCAGGAGGGTCACACCCTCTGTTTATACAAAATTGGGTCCCCTTTGACCAAGGATACTCTAACTCCAGGCCAAATGTAGTCAAAATCCACTGAGCTGTTCGACTTCAGGACAAGTGGACACCAAGGATGAAGCTTACCAAGTTTAAAAAGATTCATTCCCCGGTTCTTAAGAAAATATCTTAAAGTTTACAGACGGGTGGTGACCTAAAAATAATTTACACATACCAGCATATAAACAGTTTCAAACATTGTGAAACATGATACATTTTTATATGCACTACCTCCATTGTTCAGGAAATGCCTCTTCACTGTAGGAGTTGTTCAGGTATCAAGGAAGTAGACGGTCTGCTGTCAAAAACCAGTGATCAGGTTGGCAAACTGGCACTTCATAACACTTCATGCTGACCGAACCAGACCTACAACAATTATGTCATTGAGATTTCAGTAATATTTGCTAAATGTTGTACATAATGCACATGAAAAAAAATGATAACGACTTAAAACAAGTATTTCAAATTAACTTAAATCAAAGATATGTTTGATAATTGGTCAACAATATTGACATCCAATATCACTCAATAACCACTGTTCCCATGAACTATAGCTATAGATTTATCATCTCCTATATGAGACAAGTTTTAATATGACATCTGCAACAAATGCATATGGGCAGGCCAGGGTTATGCACATTTTCCTCGAATGAGGCATACTTGATTGAATCTGATGTCATCATCTAATAACAGTAGAAAATTTAAATCTTGATTTTTATGCTAATTTCAGGCGGTTAGTTTTAATTAGCTGATCACTGTATGCTGTTCTGAATATGAAATTTGCATCCACTTCTCAAATTTATCAAAATTAATTATGAAGCATGAACAGGAAAAAAATGTACATATGGTTCCGAGGTATTTGAAATCCTTACTGTAAATATTGAGATAAAAATCATATAAAACATAAGGGTATTGCTACTTTTTTGGTAGTAGACTAATACCCTTATTTTTTATATGATTTTTATCTCAATTTACAGTCAGAATTTCAAACACTTGTGATTGGATACTTGATATCAAAGTTTTACTTTCTACACAACGTATTAAACGTGTCGCAACCTTCCAAGACCGACTTGTCCCTTTGTCAAGCTATGACAGCACCAATATCAGTTCTGTATTTCAGACATGCATTTGTAACGAACCCCTGTGTGCAGGGTTAACATTTTGCCAGTTACCAAATACTTGTGGGATTTCGTTATGGCTACGGCATCCTAACTATAAATATGACGATTTTCTGCTACGATACAAACAATTTTGGCTCAAACCTAAATAGATTACAGTTCAATTGCTGTCATAACCAAGACTTACCGCACTGTCGACTGCATTTTCCAAAATCTACTGCCACAATCGGGTATGTTTCCGGTTTAAGGGAGCGAGCATTATTTTCCGCGAATTTCGTTGGCGATTTAAGCGCCGGCTGTTGTCTTAATGAGAACTAAAATTCTAGAATGAATTCTAGAATTCATTCTAGAATTTTAGTTCCTCATTAAGACGACAAGCGGCGCTCCAGTCATAAACGATGTCGAAATCGCGATCGGTAAAACTAGCATAGCATGGAATGAACACGCAATAAATTTGTAAACGAGTGAAACAATACAAATGAACAAAGAATTAATACAAATGAACATAGAATTAGATTCAAAACCAGAAGTAACTTATTCTATAACTTATCAACTAGAGAAATAATACAAATGTACATAGAATTAGATTCAAAACCAGAAGTAACGAATTCTATTAAAAAAAAATTATGGCGGTGATCCCCTTCCATAAAAATCGACTAAGTCCGGCTGCACTAAGCGACAGCGTAACTGACGTCCGTGCTAGGCCTATTTCAGTATTTGTTTACACGAGTGACGCGGAACTGTTGAGTGGAATACACCGGATTACGTCCGAACGCCGAGCAACTATACACAACTATCATAATATCGCCTTTGGACGAAGATCCTGCGTTAAAATGGTATGTATTCTGATTACAGTGTACAATCATTGGTTTTATCAGAGACGTCGTCTCTAATTATAAGTTATGAATCATCCAGATCGACGTGTTCAGGCTTCCCGGGAGTACCATAACACATGAATGTCACGATTCACCAACTCTTTTTGTAGCCACAATATGGCCACTCTGTCACATATAAATAATAAAGACAAATATATCATGACAACACAAATATAAACGCGCATTTGTAACATACATTTTATGCTCTATATTTAATACAAGATTAACCTAAACGTAGAAATTCGAATTCTATATATAGGTGAGGTTATTTCCAAATAGCTATTTATAGCACAAGAATAAGCACGTCACGAACTTGACTGCTATAAATGCAGAGTATTATACGTCTCTGCTAAATGGCATCTGATTTGTTGTAAATGTTATCTACACAGAACAACTTATGGTATGTTAGTTATAAATACTGTGAATTCTATTTTAAAAACAGAATTTCTTTTATCCGTACAATTGGTAATATTTTCGGACATATAACTGTACATTAGCAGACACAGTGGTACATTGTAACGGAGTACGGAATAACAGATCAATATTCACGATCAAGCGAAAAGGTGGAACTGCTTGTAAATATTGTACATGTATTATGGTTGTCAATAATGAACTTTAGCACTACAAACAAGCTTCATATAGTAGCATTGCTCAAGATTTATATATTCAGGGGTAAAAGCGGGCGGAGACAATTAAGCGCTTGTATGACATTTTTATGAAATTGTGGTTTGTTTGTGTATGTTAAACTAATTATTCAATAAAACAACTTACTTTAATGTCACTAGTAGACGCTCACGACAAGTCATCATAAGGAAAATCCTATAGCAGTGAGTTTCCCGCCATTATAATCCTGACCTCCACCATGCTCCACACAGATCCAGATGAAAAAGTAAAGAATCCACGGGATTTCCGCTTTTGATCTATATTTGGATTTCAATTTTGTTTTACTTAACGAGTACGTAACTTGCATAAACTAATATTTACCATATTGATAATCATATTCTACTTCCGATTTTTCGCTTATATTGTACCTACATGTACGCGGGGTAATCGCCGGCGTTGTAGCACCCCGCGGCCGTTGGAGCACCACTAAAATCTGGAACGTTTTTAAATGACCATTGGTGTTAAATAGGACGAACCTATTTCATTTTGTTTCAACTAATCAATTTTTACATATACATGTACTTGTGTGACAGATATGATATGATTTTATTTAACCTCTGCATAAGTTTGCAAAATATGGACATTCAAGAACAAAGAGAAATCATTAAATTCACACTATGAACAGACTCTATTTCGGTTTTCAATATTTTGGTATCCACCAAGTTCTCTGCCAGGTTCTAATCTTCATAAACTTCCTTATTCCTAATTTACGAGTAAGTTCGAAATTTTGCACAAATCCAAAGCAATTTTTAATATCTAGTGTCTTTTGGTTCCCCTCTTTTTCTGACCCATAGTTTAAAATATTAGTGACACATGTATCGATATAAACACTACTACAATGTATTTCATAGCTAATATTATATTTCTGACACACTTTTGTGATTTAGTTTTCTGATTTATGACCATATAATGCTACGTTCTATTGCATTTTAGCGTAACTTTCCGATATAATTTAATTCAACGCTAAGCTAAAACGCCAAACTAACTAGCGGCGGGACCTCATTAATTCAATTACGTTAGTCTTAAACATATCCCACCTCTAGTTAAAATCTGACAGTTAGTTTAACGTCTGTTAAAGACCCTCCGAAGTTTCTGTTAAAATGACCGTGTCATAAGATTTAGTAATTGTATTTCAATAGATTGACAATTTTCTTCTAAAAAGTGTTTTATCCAATTGTTTACATGCAATAACCATAAACTGACGTCATTTTTCACACAATACTTTTCATACATGTATTCTATCTTATTATGGTAAATATTTTCCCGTAGCTACCTTCTCTTAAGGACTAACCACCCTTCGTAATACACATGTTTTTCTTGTCGTATTTTCGTGTCGTCATTTCCGTATTGCATATCGGGCATTCCTTTACAAAAAATCCCCAGATTATCGGAATGCTTAGATTTTCTTATTATCATCTCTACATATTGACATAACCATTATGTGAAACTTTCATTGAATTCTGCGGGCTAATTGCGAAAGGGTGGAGCAACCTAATATCATTGTACTTGTCCCGTAAAGGATTTTGTCGATTCACTAAATCAAATAGCCTATCCACATTGTATGATAAACTAACATCAATACAGCCTTTTTAAGGACCTGTACACGCTCTTACAGATGTACCTACAAAAAATTGTAATAATATCGTAGTTATGTCAGACATTAAGTTAACAATACAATGTATGTTTACATGTAAACAAATCTCGGACATGGCAGAAATAGAGGATCCTCCGATCATGAGTGTCCGTGTCCTAACGAATATATTTGACTCGTTCAATAATTTGAAATGACACGAGTCTTTAGTCTAATGTAGATGTAAATTCTTGAACTAATTAAATTAAATTTTCAATATAACATGGGAACGAATGTAAGATTCTATTTATTACATAACACTAACATACACGATTTAAAAAAATAATGTTCTCAGCTCAATCTCTATAGTTTAAACCAAAATACTCCAATCATAGTGTTGTCGTTCCGCGCAATGCAAAGTAACTCCCGATTTTTCTCCTTTTCCCCTTTTCTTCTTTTTGATAATAAACATTTTTGAATACAATGAAAATAATTGCAACAAAATAAACATTTCAAATTCATTTAAATTCACAGGAAATGTGATAAATAAAAATAGTATCTTTAGTGGCGTAGGAATATGTTCCCATGGTTTTGACCAATCGCAACCTATATGTTTTATAACACATGTGTGACTACATTTTATGACATTGCCGTATGACATAGTAAAATAGGTTAGTTATGCGATGAAGCAAAAGTGGTTGTTGCTGTTGTGTTACATGTACTTATCTAATCGTAGCAGAGAAGGTTGAAGAAACTGTTTTTTTTTTGAGAAGAAACAGTACATCATTGACGAATAAAAAACAAAAAAAACAAACAATTGAGAACTTATTGCTTTAAATTTTAAATAGTTGCGCATCCCGTTTCTCAAGATGGATGTGACGTAGAGGTCCTGTGACATTTAATCCCTGACGAAGGGCTAAGCCCGAAGGCTTGGAAAAAGAGTGACTTTTTAATTTGTTATTATTCTTTATGTTTGAAGTAGAATATCAAAAATAAGGTTAGCATCACATTTCAATTTGTAAACAACGTTACCGTTTCACTGTCCCTGTCCTTGTTTCATTGTGATGGGCATTTCCAGATGTTAATTCTTGATATCCTCATTTAAAAAATAAAATTTGTGTGAAATGCAGAAGCCTCATCGTATACAATTGTAGCGGAATTGGACTGGGTCGATCGTCGGCGATCAGATAACTCAATTGGTAGAGCGTCCGTCTAGAGTTCAGAGGGTCCCGGGTGCGAACCCCGGTCTGGCCGTGTATTTTTCTTCTCCTGTTACATTTGGCGCCCAACGAAATATACCCACAGAAGGTGGTATAGGGTCTCGTGTGTCTTCGGGGTCGAAGACTTTGTTAAAGGAGGGACGAATGTAGCGGAAGTGGACTGAGTCGATCGTCGGCGACCAGATAGCTCAATTGGTAGAGCATCCGTTTATAGTTCGGAGGGTCCCGGGTTCGAGTCCCGGTCTGGCCGTTCATTTTTCCTCTCCTGTTACACCATTACAAAGAACTGCATTGTAATAAAATCATAATGCTTGTATCATTTCAGGATATGAACACTGATTTATAGTTCAGTTGTCAAAGAAACGATCTACAGAACTTATTTCAAGAACATTGGATCCTTGGAAAACTGAGAATGGCTTAGCCAACAACACTGATAATAGTTGGTATAAATAAGGTAAGTGTTAGAGAGAGAAAAGAATTGTATTTAAGCCCTTCCTCTGACCCGGCCATTTTTAGACCAACGTATATACTTTCGTTGGCCTGGCATTACATACATATGATCTAAGCTATGCTGCCGATCATTCATCATCAATAAAGGTAATATAGGCAGTGTATGATGATAATAGCTTACGCAGGTGAAGACCTATAACGTTTGAATAGATAAATGACCTGACGTACATTCAAGATCACGGGCTAAATGTAACAAACTAGGATTTTACTGAAATGAAGGGCTATGAAGTTTATATAACAAAACTTCGAACCGTAATCAAGATTGCAGGAGTGAAAAGTTAAGTCCTGTGATTTGGTATGTAGCTAGTTATAGTGTAGACTAACGTTTGTTAAATCAAAATAACTTGAGGCACTTTCAAGTTCATATGAGTCAAATATGAATTTAGTAAAACCTTCTTGCAGCGTTTAGGGTAACAAACCTTTATGACCACTTATTATTTTTTCTTTTCATGTAGTGTTATCCAGGCACCAGCTCACACAATGGGTGCCCACGATGGATGTAGCTACTCGTGTGATGGCGGAGGATATCGTGGAGGTGCGAACATGTTCCCGAAAGATACTTTGACATGTTACCCCCCCCCCCCGAAACATATTAATTGATCGGGGGGTCGGGTTGTGCAGTGGTGACGCACTTGCATTTCATCATTCTCCGGTTCCTCCCGTTATAAGACCCCACGCGCTAACATCCGTGACAACAAGAATTATTAATACAAGTTGAAATAATTTGTTCAATATTGTTAAAAACTAAATAAAGTGTATATTTATATTGTTAAATCCGATCGACAGAGATCTGCACATCAAACCTAGGGGCTTCGGTTATGAGATATAGTTATCCAAGAATACAAAACATTGTTTCCCTATTAAGCAACTTAATGGAAACTATCATTTTACCCTGTTGTTGGGTTCTCAGCTTGAGCAAATATTGCCATGTAACTCAATTGTTATGATCAAAGCATTTACAAGATTGTTAATTATTGTAGCTTTATTTTCACAAGACATTACCACTACATAACTCACCTTATTTGTTGAAAAATGCGAACCCCCCTCCATTGCCAAAAAATTGTTCGTTTCACTGACATTTTGCTTAAAGCATCGATTTCAATGAATTAAATTAAAAGAATTGTGCTGTAGTATGAAGGGCTGTGTATTACATCTGATAGAATAACTGTTTTAAGCATTGCTTGTTTATTACGTTCATCTTATTCTGAAGCAAGGCTTCCGGCCTATGTACAAGGTAAAAAGCATTGGGTCGAAAGAAACATGATCTATAGCAGCACTAGTTGTCTAACAACATAAGCTATCAGATGCTTTCGTGCATTTTCATTTGAAATACGCATAAGCGTAATGATATTTTTCTTGTTTTAGGGTAAGGTCACATCTACCTTATCAGAGCTGAAACAGGACAAACAAAAGAAGGACAGCGTAACGAATCATTTGGACATCTTAATATATTTCTTATTTTATTTCCAGATAGTACATCAGATGATATAACGGTGGTAAGCGATGAATGTGGCACATGTGAGTTCGAAATACCTCCATTAATTTCTACAGTAGCCGCAGAAGGTAGGTACTTCAAGACTTTTCTGTTATTTAAAAATTAATAATTTCTTTCTGTAGTAAGTTGATCCAACATAAAGATATCTGGATTTAAGCATCAGGCAATTATTATGTGGAACCTACAATTTGATTATCTAAGTATACACAAATAGTTTCTTTGCTGAAAAAGGGTTTTTGGAAATCTATAGTTTACGCTGCTTAACTTGATCGCAAAATGCAATATAGCTCAATAGTTATGATTATAGCGCATTAAGCAATTGCTCATTTGCCTTGATTTATATTTTCATGACATAACCACGACTAAACCCAACCAAATAAATAAGAAAATCACGAGTATCGACTATCATGTTATTAGAATGTCTACATCACTGACCTGAATACATTTTGTTTTTTAACTGATAAATTCCCACCTCCTTTTTAACATAAATCGTTCGTGTCACGAACTTTTAACCTCTCATAACATCAAAAAAATACATGAACTATATGATGTTGTGCAGTTGTATGAAGGTCAGAATATTGTCTCCGATAACAAAACTGTTAGAACCAATGAAAAAGACTAACCCTATTCTCGGTCATCCATGGAATGAGGCATGTAGTTTGCTAAAGTGCTACGAATTATATAAAAAATATCTTTAATTCAGATTCAATAAAATGCGTCAAGAATGTGGAGGTCCCAATTCACTAAAGATACGAAGAATTGTAGCAACGATTAAAAATCTTGATTGTTAATTGAATAAAACATTTTAAGTCTGAAGTGAAACATACAAGGTTAATAATTAAATTCTATATTAAAACACGTCCAGGTCGAACTCGATATTGACCCCGACTTACGGTTGACTGTGAGACAGTTCATTGAAATGGACAGATGTTAACAACCTACCAAGGTAATATCAGACGAAGACATCATTGATGTTGTTAAAAAACCCAGACAATATCGACTCGGACGATGACGACGACGACACACCGGACACAGCCTTAGCTCCGCCTACTTGTGTGGAGGCAACGCTCAAACTTCACTTCAGAATTTGACATCCAAAAATGCTTGTACTTGCAACAAACAATTATAAATATCGGCAATAATACCGCAAAGCAGACAACTCTTGATGACTTTTTTTAAAAATGTAAGTGAATATGTAAGGCACTTGAAACTGACAATCTGGTCGGTACCTTAGGCCTACTCTACAGTACAACAAACGTTTATTACTCGCATGCAACAAAATGATCGAACAAACTATTTATTGTATCAAATGTTTATGTACAATCCAAATTGCATATGTATACATGCATGTTGGAATTTTCTTTGTTTAAATGTGGCATATTTGTACAAACGGGAAAACTCGTTGTACCGCCAAGCTCGTTGTACCGCCAAAATGTCAATTCCGTCTTTTGCGTATTGCAGAGTTATCTTCTCTTGAGAGCAGGTATTGATTGTTGCGTCATTGGTTCGTGTGAGAATATTACGTCGTTTTCTCAAAAATTGATGACGTTACTCTCACAAACAAATGACGTAACAATCAATACCTGCTCTCAAGAGAAGTTAACTCTGCAATACGTATAGACGGAATTGACGGAAGGTGGCGGTATAAAAGGGTTATACTGTATGTAGAATATAGCAGAATGAGAAATTTGACTATGACACCCTTCAGAACACGACAAGTTTAGATATTTTGGCTACAACACATTATCCCTACTTAAATTAGTATTATTTGTAACCTGTGCAAAAATAAAACCCAGGTAAAGTGGTAAATATGTCTTTATTGCTTTTGCCTGAACGGGACAGAAATCCTTAACTCATATGCAAATAGTGTTGCTTCAAATAAACCAATCATAACAAAAATGAAAAAACCCAACAACTGAACATTTGATTTGTATTTATCATTTTTTTCTTGAAACTAATAGTTGTAGACTGGAAAACATTCTACCCGGATAATGAGTGGCCAAAGGTAAGCATTGATAAAATTATACCAAATCATATTACAGAATGCCAGATAATATTCACTGTGTTTGGATGATTAATACGGTCCGACAATGGCGCACACTTTTAACTTCATTGATGGCCAGGAAATGTGTATTACAGTAGATTCAGTATACCAGGACAATCATATGGCGGAACAGATGAACGAAATGATTAATCTTGATTAGCTGCATGTACTTTTCATACAGTAATCTGCTACAAATCTTCATTAATCTTTATGATTGTATTATAATCAGTCTTTATAATGTAATTGATTAAAAACTTGTTTTTATCACTATTTTTTTTAAAATTATTTTCGTCTTATTGCAGGAAGTTGACTATTATTACGAACTTTTGAAGCGTATGAAACCGGTAAGTAAATAAGAAAAGAGATGTGATGTTAATTTCTTCTTGGTTGATTGCTGAATATATGGTGCATTTACACATGAGTAAAAATGTTACATTATTACTATACTTCCTTTATGCTAGAAAGAAAATATAGAAAAATATCAGATATTCAAACGATTTTTTGCGTGCGTCCATTTCACAGTTAAAGTTACCAACTTGAATCTCTCTCAAAGCAATGAGTGAAATTAAACTTGCTTCACTTTTAACGTTTAATAACTCGGGGTCACAGTCTTCTAGTTGCATTGATTTAACATAAACTGTACTCACTGGACCGATAAGACCGCGGGCCATCTTCTCTTTGATCACGATTTGTCAGATGGTGTTTCGAAATAGGCGTATTGCAAGTTGAGGTTATTGTGTATTTTTATTAAACACGCTATTGCGAAACGATGATTGAAACTGATACAAAATATACAAAAAGAAATAATTTCGAATACAGGCAGATTTGTATTCTTTTAGTATACCGTCTTACACAGTTTTGTTAAATTATCATCTCGAGGCTTTTTATTTTCTCCTATGAGACTGCACTTGAATATATTGTGAAAAAAGATGGGACAAATATGAAAGCGCTGAAGTATTTACTTGAGTATGTCTCTAAAGTTCATGTAAGTTGATAAGAAGGCGATGTCCTTATGTGCAAGACTTTCCATTTAATGTTGCTTTGATCATTGTTAATAGAAGGGGTTAACATAAATCAATAATTCATTTTCAAAATTAAATTTGAAATTTAAAATTGCCTTCGCGTATATTATACTGAATAAAAAAAGTTAATAAAATAAGTTTGTTCTACCTAGTGATATTATTAACTTGGGAAAACACAGTGCAGTGGAACAGGGATTCCTAACACTTGATCAATCAGAATATTTGAATCGTCACTTAGCAAGTTAATGGTATGATTCTGAACTTCTGTTTAAGTAGTTACATTGCATTTGAATGTACTTTGTAGGACTTTGTATTGGGATGTACTGCTGGAAGGAACAGCATGCACCAAAAAATGATTTTACTTCAAAGACCGGATCATACAAAGGTAAATTAAACGTTAATGATAATAGAGTGCAAGCTTGATGAAAAGGAGTACATTTTATGCATATAGTTCAATACGAAACATACGATCACCAAGTTATTTTTCATAAAAAATGTCAATTGATATAAATATAGAATGCCTTTTCACTTGCTTTATAATGGCTGTCAAATATTTAAAAAGACACCTTATATGGAATAAAAACAAATGCAGTAAAAAAAATACAGCCGCCGTTTAGTCTGTTATAACTTATCCCATTTGCCTCCCCAAAACGTCGGGAGAGGAGAGATACCCCAAATCATGTTTAGTATCTGTCCGCTCCTCTCATCCTCGAAATGTCAGGGGTTACGTTTACTTACGCTCTCTGCAGCCCTAGAATATGTGATGGCAAATTTGAAGGCCCGAATTTAGCTTTTTGATAGGTTTAAGGTATAAAAAACAACGGATCAGTCGCTACGCTGATAGCTAGCATTTGATGATTACTGAGGAGCGACACCGACTTTAAAGCAGTCAACTGTACCGTTACGGTGCCACGTAATTCTTATGACGTGCATACAAGAATCAGACCGGTCTATTGGTATCACTCGCAATGTAGTACATATGAAACTTTCAAGGTGAATAGGTCATAAGTAAATATAACCCCTGGGATTCTAGGAGAGCCATTTCATTCTTTTTACCAAAGCTCAAATTTTTATGTTGATTGGCGATGGTACAATGTAAGAGGAAGACCCCTATCGATTTTAGGCATGAATTGCCAAAGGTCAATGTCGCTTAAAAGTACAGTAATCTTGGCTTGTCTGGATCCTATCTTCAGAAAAAATGATCGCACAAAGATCAGATTTGGTATGAGTTGCCGAGAGAACTCTTGGTTTTGGGCATGGTCAGGCAAATGTCAAGGTCACTGCTTTCTTTCTCGTATCCATCCAACAGCAATTGGTTGTTCTAAGCTCAGACTTCGTATGTGAGCTGACCTATGAAAGAGAAAAAGCCCTAATGACTTAGGGCATGGTCTATCAAAGGACAAGGTCGATCGTACTGAAATTAAAGTTTTGTCCCACTTTAACAGATGAGTCTACAAAACTTCTTCTGGGTTTCCCTAAATGAGATTCAGATTTGGATATAGGTTCTAAAAGGTTAAGGTTAATGGCAAGGAAAGCAGAACTCTCTAGAACCTAGCTTTGAGGGAAAACTTGCCATTTGTATGGCAAAAACATGTATTTCACAAGCACAATCCCTTCCTAATGCAAGCTATCAGGTATCAACAACAAAGGATTATCTGGGTTTTTTGTGGGTGCATCTGCTGCTCCTCAATCACTAGTTAATAATAGCTGTAAAATAAATTACTTCTTCATTGATAGAACTTTTGCTATGCTTGACGTCGTGAAAAAAAATCCCGTGCGAAAGAATCCGTATGGAATTCACAATTGAATTTACTACTGCAAGAAACCAGTCAATATTCAAATAATTATTTTTGCAGTTTGACAAAATACCATACATAGGCCATTTTCTAAAAGAAAACGGACTTATATAGTAAGTTAGGCAAAACAAATCCAATAAAACTGTACAGAAACACTATGGCATGCTAGCTAAATGACAAATGAGCAGTGTCACAGTGAACTTTGCTATTCTTTTCGAGTCAGCTTTTTTTCTTTGTAGACTGGAGCGGTTAGTACATGTACCTTCATATGCACATTTATACTACTAAGCCACCATTTTAAAAAAGCTGAACAAGAGCGATGGCAGGATGATTCCGTTTACCGAACAGGTAACTATCATGTTGAAATTAAAATAATTCTAGTGCACGTGTGAATTGAAATCGTCACGTGTAACTTTTGTGCTATGTGAATGTCTAGGTTTCAGTGTCATGGGCAATTTAGGCAGGCCGATGCAAAAGGCAAATTCATAGTAAAGTGTAGTCACAAACATTTATATGTGCTTGTTTTATAAACAGTTTTGAAATCAGTACTGTATATTTTGTTATTATAAATTTTCATACAAAGTAATTATGTATCAACGTTACCCTCTTTTTCTGTTATTACACGGTTCTTATGATATATGCTAAAATATGCCCATGCTCAGTGTCTTTTTCTTCATCAGTACTGAACGCACGAGTGATACGCAGTTTTTTTAATGGTGCACCGAGTAAATGGACATTTGACGACCAGCCAGTATTTAGTGACACCCGTTTGTTATTAAACTACAATATTCCGAATACCGAAAAATGTATTCAACCCAAAGGAGAAACAAATGTAAGTATTTCATTCAAGCATTTACATACAAACATGGAACTTTTAAAGGTCTGATCAACTTTTATCATTTTGTTGCATTTTTTTTTTATTTATTTCTGGTATTACTTTATTCATACAAAACGTTTTTAATGATTGGTTATCAATTTCGAAAAATCCCGTGGCCAATTTATTTTATTAGACTGGACCGCAGGGTACATTGACTTTCGTAAATCAATTGTGGTACCTAGTGCCACTATTTACGTTGAAAAATAGCTTTGCATGGTTGTTTCTCTGAACATTAAGGAAAGGTTAATAGACTACTTTTAAACATTAAACGAAATGATAACAAAGTAGTCATGCAACTTGTAACACTCAATGTGACTTTTAACTTCTAAATATGTTTTAATTGATTCGAACCTATTTACTGAGAATGACTTGTTTGATGCTATTTATAAGAGCGTAGCTCTCGGGCGCCTTTGACACCCGAGCGAAGCTTTTAAATGGTAACACGTACATGCATGCGGAAACAGAGTTTTTACCCCTTGCTACACGTTGCCTTTGATTCCGGAAGTAGACCTCCAGTGGGGAAACCGGAAGTGTATCCTTGAAGCAAAGGCAATTGTGTTTCAACCCATACATGAACATTATCATATAGTGAAAACAATACCCATGTTTTATTACTTGTTTATTTAGATAAAAACTCATATACATTCTGAGTCAAACATATCTATCACATACATTTTGATACTAGCAGGCATAAAACATCGTTTAGAGATTATCATACTATGACGTCACAAGCACGTCACACTCCGTCGGCCATCATCGGTTATTTCCGGAAGGATGAAAAATAACCAGAAAATATTGGAACTGATGTCCGTTGCATTTATCTCTGTGTCGGTGCTTCATGACTTTTTAGATTTCAGTTTTGCCGCACAAAAAGTAAAAATACGGATATTTTCTGAAGATCCTTTTTGTCATCAACCAGGTTCTGTTAACAACGTGTACATTTATTTTTCGTCTAAAATTTCATCAGCTTATGATTTCCATTTGTTGAGAATATGAACGAAATAATTAACATTTTTGAAAGTCTGGTTATAGTCTTTACATAATTCATGCATGCATTACCACTCATAAAATAAACAAGGGATAATTCATTTATATCGAAATCAACAATAATCGTCCAGATAACCAACTCGATTTCAACGCCCTTTTTCAGTAACGTATTACTTTTTTTCACAACGCGCGCCGATTTATAACTAGTTACAGAAAAAAACTGTTTAACTTTATTTTGCATCATTACCTGTCAAACCTCGTTGATAGTTACAAAATTTCAGTTACATTAAAGTATTACAATGTTTTTTTTTAAATTTTATTTTTTTAACTAACTTTTTCTATAGCAATTACCAAACAGTTTTCCCCTAGCTTATCTCAATCATTTTGTTTTGTGCCCTGACGAAGCAAGCAGAGGGTTTAATTCTTAATATGGGAGGAAGCTGGAGTATCCGGAGAAAACCCGCGTGGTCGGGCAGGTGACCGGAATAGAATCCGGCCATCTTGGTAAAGACGAGCGCACTATCTACTGTGCCACCCGACCCATCATATACGTTACGCACAAGAACAAATATCTACTTTAGACTTAACTGGAAGAAAATGGCGTCATTGATGCAAAAATTATATTGTGAAGACTTTTTTTATCAATCATCAATGATATAAAAAATCTACATACGGGAGACCGGGGAAAGTTCGGCCACCCCAAGATATTTTTGTTTTTTAGCTAATATTTACAACTTTAAGGATCTTAGCAGTTTAGTTGGCTGGGCATTCAACGACGAAAAAATGGCAAGGAACACTCTAATGTAAAATGACTTAACAGGAGAAAATTACTTTTGAGAGGGCAGAATGAAAACCATGATATCGCTTTCATTTATGCGAACTTTTTGAAACAGAATTGCATCAAATGATAATACATAAAAGCGAGACCAATCACTCACTTCCATATTGCTGTACGATAAGAATTTATTGAAATACCAATTTTGGCCCGAACAGTTTCGAACAATAATACCGTGGCAAGGTCGGCCCTATAGTAAAACACATAAAAAGTCGTAAAATTGGCGTTAAGATCTGATGTTATCCGAATGCCTGTCCCATGGCGGGGCTCGTTTGGCCATCCGATCTTCCGAGAGGAAACGTTAAATAATGTTCAAAAACGGACGTGCTGCCATACTTCCTAGAACGAACTATAATAAAACAAAAGGGCCGAACTTGCCCCAGACTCCCTTTTGTTATGTCGGTCTTATTCCCATTAGAGGTTGTGTTTTATTGTTATTCCTCGACTAGCCGACTTTAAATAAAGTTTATCTCATCTCATTCTGAAAGTTGTATTCTGAATCAGTAAACATCAGAGATCAACAAAAGCTACGCTCTTTTAAGGCTTTGCCATTTCATATTAGGTTGATATTGCGCCGCCTGACTCGAAGGACATTTTCACCCATATCTGGAATAAGAACATCACACAGTTCGTCACTGACCCAGGTAATATTTGCAGCTGTATTTATTTGTTACATGTACCTGCCATCGTATAACTGGGAGAAAGATACATATACGAAACAGATGTGCATATTTCAATATATTTCACACAAAGAACCCAACGTTTTTTTTATACATGTTTACATTTTAGACAAAGTACAATTACGACAGGAAGTTCATGTGTATATGGTATATTTATGACTCGTGTCCAGTCTGACACCCAAGCTCACGACCTACGGAACACGATCGCGTAGACTAGTAATATTCGCAGCTCCTGAATCGCAATGCATAGAATACATGGAAACGAACTGTACAAATATTATTGCTATTAGAAACGGTACAATAACGACAGATATTTCATCAACAGAAGGTTGTAGGAAATTAGTAAGAAACATTTGTGTAATCTCTTTCTAAGTTAACCCTCATAAGGACGTACGATGTTTTTTGTATATACATGTATATATGTAAATGAATAAAACAAAACACTAAAGACTATATTTCGCCAGTACTTTCGCTCATCTGTGGGTTCTTTAGACGATTCGGATTCATTTTTGACGTCATAAATTGAGTACACAAACTTAAAAAGTAAAAATGACGTCATAAACAAAGTACACATAATAAATACTTTTGTTTTTGTTTTTTGTACATGTGGATGCTTCAAGTTCTTGAGAGAACAACACAATTAGACGGATTTGATACGAAATCAGGTGAGAGAAACTCTATATGAATAATTTACTTTACATATTTCACCAAGAAGATAATTTTATTTTGATTCTTTCTATATACACATAATAAAAAAAATTAACAACTTCTTTGTGATGACAGTAGTTGCAAGAGATATGAAAACGTATATTTACAATCTGAAAAATATACTACCGCTGGTCATATTTCGATAACCCTTTCTGTGCATATTCACAATACGTTTCCTAAAGTTCGTTGCATTGAATATGATGTTACTAAATATATAGTGAATGTCAAATGCATGTCACTGACTGTATATTTCTTTTATTTCAGTTTTCGTTACTTGGGGACTATCTGATGCATTGAAGTGTATTTTTAAGGATTTAGGTAAGCTTCTTTAATTTAATTTGATGCTTACCACACAGTTTATTTAGGTGTACGTTTACATAAAACGTACAGTGTCTAATGATATTTTTTCTGTTCAATATTAACTGAACATTATAGATCCAATAACAATATATACCAGCCTTTAACGTAGATATTTACAAAACATGATGGTGGAAAACTTAATAATCGATCAGATCTTTTTCTAACTCCCGTAGGAGTATTAGTTTGCTATGGAATTCAAAATTCGTTTAAATCGCCTATGTTATGTAAGTTTTTGATTTTAATTATGTTCCAAATTTGTTTAGCTTTTTGGTGTTAAAATGCATTGTATCAAAATGTGAGCTTTTTGTTTTTCCAATTAACTGTCTAAACCACGTAATTAATGTAATTATTTCGATTTTAAGATCGGACTTTGAAAATTTGAAACACACTCCTTTAAAATGACTAAAATCGATACAAAGAGGCTGACGCCAATCTGCGATTCTTCAAAGATTGAAGAGAAAACACCCCCATGTGATGAACACGATGTAAATGAAATAGACACTTCCGGTGTAACCCTATGCCTGTTTCCAATCGTTTGTTTGTTCTATTTGATACGACAACATGTCACCGATCCATCCACTAAGTAATATTATTGATGAATACCCTATGTTCAGACCATAAAAGGTGATATTTATAGAGAACCATACATTCATTTCCTGGTTTGACGTGAGAACTTTTTTCTCATCGCGAGCATATGGATAAAATCGTGAGGCTCTCCTGCTCAAGTACCTCTCAATTCTATTCACTTGCTTGCGATGAGAAAATTGTTCCCACGACAAACCCAGAAATCACAGTGTCATAAACTGTGTACCATCTAGATACTACTACCTCATTAATGTCTCGATGAATAAAAAGTCAAATAAATACCATATCTTTCAACCGACTTATAGGTCTACTGATCATCGATATCTTCGTCAACGATAAACGTAAAAAACCACCAAGTTTTCCGCGGAAGCTTACCATGAGACATTGTAACTTCTCCATAAAATGGATTTATCATCCTCAAAATATTTTTCATAACTTTGTAAGGATTTATTTTATGACGGACTATATTCTTACGCGGAACACCGTTGTTTGGATACGATTTCCGGTGCATGACACCCCTTGTCGCGAGCAAATGTTCTGTTTTGAGAAAAAGCTATTGGAAAATTGGAAATCCAACCTCAAGTTCTCCACTTCCTTCTCGAGTGTTCTCATACTGTCAATTTGTGATAATGAATTGATCGTTCTACTGGTAGGTGGTATGAAGAAGAATAAAGATGATGATCTACACAGATATTCAATGCCTTTCCATTGTATTATCACATTTATTTACCCCGTTGTTGAAAATGACCATGTGTTAAATTGTGCGATGACGAAATTTTATCATGCCCCATATCAAGGTCACATTGACTCGCATTAATAAGTTATTAATATTAATTAAGGTTTCAAACACTGGCTTGTCATTTGGTGTGTTAACTGGAAGACGCTCATTTCCTATAAAACATAACAGATTTCACATCAATTTGAATGACACTGAACAGATCTCATTATAAAGGTTTACATGATTGATCAATTAATCAGATCAAAATATTTACAAGTCATTCAATTTATTATTTGTTTTCATGTAAAACTTCGGTATACCAGATAAAAAATATTTACAAGTTAGTCAATTATTTGATTTCTTGTAAAACTTCGGTTTACACTGAACAAATGTTCATTTGTTTTGATGGATCAAATTAATTGCCAATCACAAATTGAATTGATTTGTTGATTATGATTCATGTTAAAATTTGTTAGATAATTTATAAGAAAATAAATTCTACATGAATTATAATACATGTATTTTCTGAAAAAAATAGTTCTTTCGTTATGCTGTATTTTAGATTTTATTTTCGATCAATGTCAATATCTACGTTAAAAAAAACCTGAATGATGACTGCGAAGATCAATAGATATAGCAGTTCAGCTGATATTTATCTAAAACCAACGTATCACGTAACAGCGATTTCCATCGGTAGAGGATGGACACACCTCTACTATACAATAGACTTTTTTTCTAATGTAGGAAGAAAATATAAACCAGATTTCTAATATAAGATTATAATTATATTATTTCAAACAGCACGTTCTTTGTTTTGTAATTCTCCCGAACTTCAACAACATTATAGCCCAGCGAAGATTGTATCATGCAGTGATTTGTTTTATTTGTTTGGCTTTCTTCATGTACAAATATTTTTTCCCCAAATAATATGTTCCCTTCGTGTTTCCAATTATTATGGATGAAGTGTTAGAGGGGCGATAACTCTGTTATCGTTGCTCTGAACGAAATGTTAACACGGCTAAATGTAGCTAATTTGCCGCATATAACAGCAATTTTTGAGTACGAAAAAAACGGCTCCATAACTTTTGCTGAAACTTTCCAAGTTTGTAGAACTCAGCGCGATCTACCTCCTTGTATATCTGTTATATCTGGGAAAAATCTAGTTATGGAGATATTTGGTGTAAAACACGCCAAAATCGGCATTTTGACCATTAGTAGCTGTATAATTCACCCTGGAGAATTACCGCTTAAAGCTGACGAACTGAAACTTCAAACATAAGTAGTCCAAGTTATTATGAAGAGATGTCATATTTGGTTTTTCGATACCTTTCATAGAACGGCCCTGAGAGGGTTTTGAAAATGGGGTGTATTTCTGGGGTTTCGTGGAATTTTCCAGAAGATCCGATTTCCCCGTAGTCAAACGCAAACTTGGGTACCCCTTCTAGGCTAGAATTGAGATAACTGCTTGTTGCGCATGCGTTAAATACGAAGAAATGTTCCAGCCGCTTATCCGGTTCAACTTGTAGCGGTGAGTTAGATGGAATTTTGACTAGTGCCAGTAATTTCTACCATTTTACGATATTCTACGTTATGGTTATTTTACAACGATCAATGTTTGCTGTTGATCACAATCATGCATATAAGATATGACCCAGCATTTAAAATATTTAGCAAAATCCCCACATGTTTGTTGACGTTGCGCAACAGACTCGGAACAGTTCTCGTTTCTTCAATATTTACTTTCGTTATTTTTTGTTTCTACGTTCAATTAAATTAAGATTTCGGTGTGTGAAGCCTGTTCAGTGTTTGTGGTAATCTCTCATTTGTGATAATTTGTTTACGTCTAAAAAAA